GAAGAATATATTGCATCGATTGGAAGAAAAAGAAATCGGCAATGACGCAAGAACCAAACGATTTTGGTCCCTCTGTTGGGAAAATAAATGGCACCGCGATGCTCTTCACTAGCTTCGAACGCAAAATTCGCTATCTAATTAATATTCTATCAGGCAATATTAAAAACATCACCATTGATCAAGAAATTAAATAAATTTTCATATTTTTCCATCTTTTGTGTTAAGAGAATTTTCTTCGATTTTTGTACTTGAAAATTCAAATATATTTGATAATGATATTTTACGTTTAATACCTTACAAGAGTTTTCAAGTATTTTTATATTAGCTTAGAGAAAATTAAAAAGAATATTCTTCAATTTTTATAAGTGAAAGTTCAGACACATTTCATAATAATATTTTACAAAATTTTTCAAGTATCTTTATTTTAGCTTAGAGAAAATTTAAAAAAATATTCTTCAATTTTTATACTTGAAAGTTTAGACATATTTCATAATAATACTTTCCAACATTTTTTAAGTACCTTCATTTTAGCTTAGAGAAAATTAAAAAGAATATTCTTCAATTTTTATACTTGAAAGTTTAGATATATTTCATAATAATATTTTCCAAGATTTTTCAAGTATTTTTATCTTAGCTTAAAGAAAATCAAACAGAATCTTCTCCGATTTTTGAACTTGAAAATTCAGATAAATTTTATAATAATATTTTACGTTTAATATCTTACAAGATTTCTCAAATACTATTATCTTAACTTAAAGAAAATTAAAAAGAATATTCTTTAATTTTTATACTTGAAAATTCAGACATATTTCATAATAATATTTCACAAGATTTTTCAAGTATTTTTATCTTAGCTAAGAGAAAATTAAAAAGTATTTTGTTACCATTATCGAAACAAATTGTGCATTATTGAAGAAACAATTTCGTATTACTCTTACTACTTGGGTTTTCCGATGTTATCGTGTTTTCCTACGTAAATGTTTCTCAATAAAACTGCTGCAAGGTAACGAGGTTAAGAGGAGGTTAAAAATTCAGAGTAACTGTTTGCAATCAATCACCGGAAACTGGAACGGAGTATCTCCTTGAAATTTCGAATAAAATCCCCAACGATCTAAAGATCCCTCTACATACGCGAATTCGGTGTATTTTTCGTTTACAGGCAAACGTGACTCATCTGTGCACAGAGACCTTTGTCATATTATTAATTACACGAGTAGAGTCTCTAAATTGCTACACGGAAGCTAGTAAACTGGGAAGTTCTGGTTCTATTAATATTGCTCGCGAAGAGCCGATCATGTTCGGCAAAACGATCGAGAAGCTATCATTTGCATAGATTGTAGCGTGCAAGAGGTTCCATTGTCGGTAATCGCTGTCACAATGAAACGAGCTATAGAGGCAATAATAATTACAGTGGCTGAAAATTATACTCCTTTATTCCCTCAGAAAATAAACAGAAAATAGCTGGTTAATTAAATTGGTTTTAATCATTCTCGCGATTACTATTAAAAATTTAAAGAGGTATTTAATTTTCTTATTAAATAAAATGACAACGAAAGCGAAATTTTTTGACAGCAAGAATCTGTCACGATAAATTTAATTATATCAATTCTATATTTATATTTTACGTATTTTATCGATAATTATATTCATCGTGACCTCCAGCTCGGTGTTAATTAAATTCAAACCTCGAGATTGAACTGGAATATTTATGAGTAACAGTATAAACATAGTCTTGGTACTCGATATACTTTAGATCGTAAGAAAATTTCGTTGATCACTATTATCGATCATACATTAATGCTAGAACTAATGAGCTATGAAATGTGTCTTAAAAATTAATAATAATAAATTTAATATCAATTTTAATTTTCAAGAAAAGGAAATATTAATTTCAACAAAAATAGCTGCATATTTGCAGCAATTGGCATCAGAAAAATTTCGAAACTGGTTATTTCGATTCACTCGGTATTTCCAGTGTTAATTACCCATTATGTAGTGTTCATTACAGTTAGAGTAAATTATTACAGACTCCATTTTTCATTTATTCCCTCTATAGCTCAGTGACAATTATATTTATCAAATCCCCTGTCCGAGTGTTAATTAATTTCGAACCTTGGGCTAGAATCGCGATATTTACATCTAGTATTAAAAACAGTATCTTTAAAATTGACGTACTTCCTTAAATCGTGGGAAATTTCCGCCAATCAAGAGCGCAGATCTAGCATTCATCCTGCTACCTCCTACTTCCTTCTCCAGTTCTCGAGAAGTCCTCTGACAGTTCGTTGCCAGACATGTCTCAGCAGACACGTTTTAAATCGGCGTCCCATTTGTCTGCAAGTAGAAGAGTCTGTTCAGTCACGGGTGCAACAGTGAATAGAACTAACCTATATAAACGTGAAAATTATTGCAACTTCACTCATAGTGATCATTAATAAACATTACTCTAAAGTCCATGAGCTTTGAAACGCTATATTTTTATCTCTTATTTACAACATTTTCCCGTGATTTAACTTCGGATTAATTATTCTAAGGAAGAATATTATTTTCCCAATAGCTATTACCACGTAGCAAAGGAAATTTTCTGTCATTATCATTCTTCGATAATTTCTCAACGACACGGAAGCCATCGAAGGCAGAGACATGGAGGCACAAACAGTGGGAAAGATTATTTCTTAAAAATAATTAAACGAGTACCTTCGCTGACATTATGACTGTGTCGAGTAAATTCTCAGCTCGTTATAAGCTTTATGTGTACACGGTTATCGATAAGAGAAAACTAGTTGTTCGTAGTCTGTGTTTGGTGAATTGTCTTTCATTCGCGTTGTCGACTTTGTGTGTTTCGTGAAATGACGGGTGACATGGAGAATTCTGTGCTTGTGTTTCGAAGGAAGAAGGGTGGAAAAATGGCGCACTTCGGAAAGATGGACGAGCAGCACCCTTACTACGCGATCGCCGCTGCTCGAATGTGGCAAAAGCCGGAAACGAAACCGGTGACCACGGCGAGATTCTATTGGAAATTCGCGGCGTTCAACTTCATTCATAAAAGGTGATGCCTGTTCCACGTTGCCTAAGCGACACCATAAGAGTGAATTTCTCACAGAGCTGGGTATTTTCTCTCTCCAAACGTGACTTATACCTGTATTATACTTGTTACACGTTAGGCATAAATATTAGGACACAGTGTATTAGACATGATAGTAAACAAAGGGATGCAAATTTATAGAATTTCAATTTTTATTGCATTTAATTTTAATTTATTAGGTGTTTTATATACTAAAGAATTTTCTACAATAAATAATCGCTCTACAATTTTTTTTCTTTTTGGAGATGTGTAAATTTGGTGTATTAAACATAGTATAGTAAACAAAGGGATGCAAATTTATGAAACTTCAATTTTCATTGCATTTAATTTTAATTTACTGGGTGTTTTATATATAAAAACATTTTCTATAATAAATAATTGCACCATTTTTTCTTTTTTTTTTTTTGAAGATGTGTAAATATAGTGTATTAGACATAATATAGTAAACAAAGGGATGCAAATTTATGGAACTTTAATTTGTTAACTTAATTT